AGTTCTGGGGTCGTCGCAACACGAACCCACCGTAGCAGGCTGAATGCGTTCGAGTTGCTCCTGACCCCCCTCTCTCGCCCCCTGCTTTTCCCGCCGCACTCCTCGGTGGCAACGGCGGTCTTCTCACCAGTTCCTGCGGGTGCTTCCCGCGTGCCCTTCGCGGCATGCGGGTGGCGCGGCGTGGGGCGCCTTAGAGAATGGCCCGGGAGGGCCGGCGGCCTGGGCGCCGCCGTCCGCGCGCCCTGGCCGCGGAGACGGGGCGCGTCGCCCTCGGCCCAAAGGAGGAGGAGGAGGGAGGTGGAGGACGACGGAGCGGATGGGGAGGGGGATTTCGAGGATGGATGGGGCCCTCCTCCGCCTCCTCCTCCTCCTCCTCCTCATCTTCCTCCTCCTCCTCCTCCTCCTCGGCTGCCTCCTTGACTGTGTAGCCCACCTCCTCGCCCTCGTCCACTCCCTCCCTCCCCCCACCCCCCTGGGCTGCCTCCAGCCCGACTGCCCTCCGCCCTTCCCCCCGCCGCCCCTGCGCCTCTCCCGTGCGCCCCCGCGTGGTTCCCCCCCCCCCCCCTGCGCCCTCGGCTCCATCCCTCCCTCCCGCCATCGGCTTCTATCGGTAGTTCGCGAGCTCGCACGGGCGGTCTCTGAGTTTCCGTATGGTCGGACGCGTGTTGTATTTCACGGAGTTTCAGGAATATGTGGAATTTCAAAACTCGTTGCATGGTTAGTTGTTGGGAATTGACTGGGTTACGTATTTTCTGAATATTTGATCATATATGGATGAAAGTAACATCCGCCGCTCTGCGGTTGATCGGGAGTTTCTGTATATATAGAAGAAGGGGCGCGCGCTTCTGGGCGAGAGGGAAACGACCGAGAGAAGAAGGGGCGGCCGCCCCACAGGACCTCTCCATGGTGCCGGAAGCCCATCAGGGCTCCCTCAGGGCCCCTCCCCCAGGGCCGGGGCTCCCTCGCCTGCTCCCCTCCTCCTCCTCCTCCTCCTCCTCCTCCTCCTCCTCCTCCTCCTCCTCCTCCTCCTCCTTCGCCCCCGTCGGCATATCCAGGCGTGTTATGCAGTCAGGTCGTCCGTCCGGAAACGGTGCCGGAGGCCGCTCTGGGCTCCTCTGGGCATCCCCCCCGGGGCCCGTTTTGTGAGGATGTCTCAGGCGAGGGCGCCGGTTTGGGATTCGTCACCGGATCCAGCGGATCCAGCGGATCCGTCCGGAAACGGTGCCGGAGGCCGCTCTGGGCTCCTCTGGGCATCCCCCCCGGGGCCCGTTTTGTGAGGATGTCTCAGGCGAGGGCGCCGGTTTGGGATTCGTCACCGGATCCAGCGGATCCAGCGGATCCGTCCGGAAACGGTGCCGGAGGCCGCTCTGGGCTCCTCTGGGCATCCCCCCCGGGGCCCGTTTTGTGAGGATGTCTCAGGCGAGGGCGCCGGTTTGGGATTCGTCGGATCCAGCGGATCCAGCGGATCCAGCGGATCCGTCCGGAAACGGTGCCGGAGGCCGCTCTGGGCTCCTCTGGGCATCCCCCCCGGGGCCCGTTTTGTGAGGATGTCTCAGGCGAGGGCGCCGGTTTGGGATTCGTCACCGGATCCAGCGGATCCAGCGGATCCAGCGGATCCGTCCGGAAACGGTGCCGGAGGCCGCTCTGGGCTCCTCTGGGCATCCCCCCCGGGGCCCGTTTTGTGAGGATGTCTCAGGCGAGGGCGCCGGTTTGGGATTCGTCACCGGATCCAGCGGATCCAGCGGATCCGTCCGGAAACGGTGCCGGAGGCCGCTCTGGGCTCCTCTGGGCATCCCCCCCGGGGCCCGTTTTGTGAGGATGTCTCAGGCGAGGGCGCCGGTTTGGGATTCGTCACCGGATCCAGCGGATCCAGCGGATCCGTCCGGAAACGGTGCCGGAGGCCGCTCTGGGCTCCTCTGGGCATCCCCCCCGGGGCCCGTTTTGTGAGGATGTCTCAGGCGAGGGCGCCGGTTTGGGATTCGTCACCGGATCCAGCGGATCCAGCGGATCCAGCGGATCCGTCCGGAAACGGTGCCGGAGGCCGCTCTGGGCTCGTGCTCTTCGCGCCGGGGGTGAGGATGACGTGAGTTCCACAGAAACTCCCTCAAATTACTTGCCGTTCATTGGGGCTGGTCAGTCCATGGGCGATAAGGGAGGGTGCGGACGCGTTAGACATCGTGCCACGGCGCGCGGCCACAGAGCCACAGTATGCAGCTGCGGCCAGCACGTGCTGTATGGGTGCTCGTGGCTGGCGCTGCGATCAGCACCAGGTGGGCGACAAACCTTCGGCGGGGCGCTACTCGACGACGAGCAGTTGCACAATACCGTGACGAGTTGCCTCAAGCTTGTGGGCCATCTTGCAGGAGACAATGTCACGATAAGCACAAAACTCGAGGCCTCGACTTGCTACCACGAGCTAGAGCAGGATACCCAAATGTTTCTTAGGCCTTCGGTCAAACGAAGTTCCAGAGGAGTGTATGGCCTCAGCGGCTTCTGCTACATCGTCCCTGCAGAGCCGTGCCGGTGAGTCGATCTCGGGGATGGCTTTCTTCAGACGCGGGCTCTATTGGCAGACTCGCCAGAAAATGCTCAGGAGGGAAAGAAACACACAGACACAATTAATCGTCGATCCCCAGGAAAATATGCGAATATATGGGAAGTGGTGGGGAGGACAAAAACCCAGAAAATATAGGAAAATATGGGGAATCCTTTTATTTGTGTGTTTTTATTTGTGTGTCCCAGTTTCCCTTTAAATGCGTGCGTTCTTGAAGGTCCGGGCTCGGGGCTCCCGCGGCCTCGTCCCCTGTTGGGAGCAGGCGTTGACCCTGCCCTCGCACGTGACGGTGCTGCGATCGCCGCGACGACCCCAAATCCAGAGATACCATCGTGGCCGAGAGGTGCCAGAGCCGAATCTGGCTGGACAGCCTCAGCTAGAACTTCCTTGTGGCGTTCTCCCCGACTCCGTAGTCCTCGAGTCTTTGGGCCAGTGTGCTGCGCCAGGCCCAGGCTACGGTGAAACCCCTGCTGGGGCCCTTTCCCACGGGGCGCGCGTTTTGCCATTCTCATGGGCTCCCGCGTCAAGCTCAAGAGGCCTGTTAGCACCTGCCGGGTGCACCCACCGACGCCGTGAGGAGTGCTCTGTACAGTCGAGGCTGATTAGAAGGTTGTTCCTGCCGAATCAAGGGTATCCTTGTGTCTGGTGTCTCGCGACCCACGCCTTCTACATTCCTGCGGCAATTTGGCCCTCGGAAGGGTCTTGTGTCCTCTCGCGTGTCCTCTCCAATCAGCCCCAAGTGTATTGGATCTTTGAGAGGAGCGCGCTCGGCTTGATGATGATGCTATGTAGCGGAAGCAGTGGCGACGCGGTGGAGAAAGCACACGCAGAGCAGTGCACGGGGCTTGCTGTGCTGCCGCGGCGTGTTGCTCCCGCCTTTCGTCGGCGGCTGCCCCGTTGCTGCTCGCCACGGCGGGGGGCTCCCCCCCTCGTTGGCGGCTCCTTCGGCTCGTTGGCGTGGGCACCAGCGCCCGACCGCTGCTGAGAGAACGACCTCACTCGGCGGCGCGCCCGGGGGGGGGGGGGGGATGTGAGAGGGGGCAGGCCGTCTCAGCAGGCGGCGGGACTTCTCGGAAGGCCTCGGTCTTTGGAGAAGCCGCCTCCGTCTTCGGGGTCGGCTCAAGAGACTTCTCGGAAGGCCGGAGGCCTTCTGAGCCTTGTGGGAAGGATCGCCCCCCTGCATTCCCCCGTGGGCTCGCCGCCGACTCGCTCTCACGGCCTCCTCGTGGACGCGTCCCGCGGCTCCGCGCGCGGCCGCCCCGCCCCGTCCCGCCCGAGGGTGCCGCCCGCGAGGGCGTGCGCCCCCCGAGCTCCGCCCTGCCGTGCCGGCGCGGCGGGGCCGGGCTGGCTGTGACCTCGCTCTGGCTCTGCGCTGGTCCTTTTCCTGCTTCCTCGGTTCGCCTGCGCGCAGGAGTGGCCCTTCGTCGGAGTGACCTTTGGTGCGGGCCCACTGGGGTCTCGGGGGCGGCAGAGAGGGGGGTGATGACTAGGGCCTAGGGGGGGGTGGATATCATGGCGTGGGCCAGGATATTTCCCCAGATTTCATGGCGCCTCTTCTTATTTCATTACGTCCCTGGGCCGCGCACATGCCGTCGGCCATGATTTGCACCCCCCCCTCTTGGACGTCCCCTTCTTTCGGGGGAGCGTAAGACCCGGGTTTGCCGGGACCCGGGTTCGCCATCGTTTTTTGACGACCGCGCCTCGGATTTTGACGAGGAGGAGTTTCGTGGGATGTCTGCAGCGGGAGGCCTCGTCAAAATGCAGGCTCGGCCTCGTCATTTTTTTGACGACCTCGTCGGGGATTTCCGAGTCCCCCGTACCCGGGTCTTACGTCTCCCCGATTCTTGGCCGCCCCCGAGGGTCTCCCGATCGCCGAACGCGGTGCGGTGGTAGCGGCTTGCGCGCTTGCGTTTGGTCCCCCTGCGACCCCCTAAAAGATGCGGACCCAAGGTCACTCTTGCCCAGGGTCACTCTTGCGTGTAGTCGATATGTTCTGGTCGCAGCGACTGTGGCACAACATGGCGCGCTATTCTTCCGAGGCGGGCGCTCATCCATGACCACCGCCTGGCGTCCTCTTCGGGTGCCTCGGTAGGCGGTGGATCTGCATGCATGCGGGCCCCCCTTGGGTCAAAACCTGTCCATATCTTTCGCTCGCTGTGGTCCCAGCTGTCGGTTCCCCAGGCGGTGGATACGGACATATCATTGCACCGCCTTGCATTTCTGACACTTCGCCAAAGACAAACGAAGCGCGCGATACAGTTGATACAGCTGGCCACAATTAGGAACAGTCCTGCCCCAGCCCCGATCCTCGCTGCCGAAGTCCAAGGGCGCGCAAAGGTTTCTCATCCTTCACCCTCGCGCCTCCTCCTGCTTTTCCTTTCTGCCTCCTGCCTCCCGCGCGCATTCACCACCCCTGTTCAGCACCCCTCCCCCCGCCCCCCCCCAGGAGCAGATGGCACTGGCCGCGATGCAGGAACCGGGGATGCCCCGCATCCCCGAGGGACTGCATGATCGTGCGCGGGCGGATGGAGGGGGTGGAGTGTCGCGGGGGACGGTGTGTTCCCATGCCTCCAGCGTCTTGCCGAACATCAAGTCGGTGGTTTTCAGAATTTTAGGATTCTGGGGGCCGACTGCAGGCCCTAGGGCCGTCAAACGTCCCTCTGCGACGACAAGCGGGTCCCCAGGGAAGGGGATGTAGACCTCTGGCGACCGACGATGCAGGGGTTGGGGGCAAGAGGAGACGGGAGGGCGATGCCCAGCAAGCGCTGGTTGGTAGCAAGCCCCAGGTGGTGGTCATGCGGTCGCACCTGGCCGTTCTGACACAACCTGGTCGCCAGGCATCCGTTGATCGATTGGTTGATTGATCTCTGCCCTCCTCTTCCAATGGGGTGGGGGGGCGACAAGAGGACGAGCTCGGCGCCGTGTGGTCGGTGTAGAACCCCTCGGCCCGTCAGGAGGAATACGGCCTCTCGGAGGAGGAGGCGCTCGCGGTCCGGCGGCGGGGCGGCCTGTGACGCGGGGCCCGCTTAGCTCTGAGCTCCTGGCCAGCGGGGCGGGCGGAGCAGCGCCACCAGCTGCTCGGGGCGGGGCGGCGGCGGAGCCTTCTGAAGGGAGGCCTCACCCCGCGCGGACCGGAGTTTGAGGAGGAGGAGGAGGAGGAGGAGGAGGAGGAGGAGGAGGAGGAGGAGGAGAGGAGGAGGAGAACGAGGAGGAGGGAGGAGGAGGAGGAGGAGGAGAGGAGGGAGGAGGAGGAGGAGGAGAGGAGGAGGGAGGAGGAGGAGAGGAGGAGGAGGGAGGAGGAGGGAGGAGGAGGAGGAGAGGAGGAGGAGGAGAGAGGAGGAGGAGGAGAGGAGGAGGAGGAGAGGAGGAGGAGGAGGAGGAGAGGAGGAGGAGGAGGAGGAGGAGGAGGAGGGTGGAGGAGGAGGAGCAGCAGCGGCGCGGAGGAGGAGGGGTGGGGGCCGATCGAATTCCTCGAGTTGGATTGTCGGCGACTCAGCCTTGCTCGCGGGTAGCGCCAGTGATCGCGTTGAGTGCGGTCATCATTCCCGTGTCCTTTCCCTGGCTGGTCATTTATATGGTTTGCCTAGGGACGTATGCAGTTTTTTTTTTTTCCGGGGGCACAGTGTACAGCAGCCGTCGTCGGCAACAGGTGACATTTGCGCGTTTGCACGAGCCCGGACCTTTGCTGTTCTTATCCGCCTGAATCATATTCCGATCCCTATGATTGACATCACTGTATCTCGGCGTCGGGTTCAAGGATTCCCTCAGGTTCTGAGGGCACGTCCCTCATATTGTCATCGTCTTTGGCTTGTCGATCTTAGGGATAGGGATAAGCTCGAGGCTGGTTATTTCCATTTACCTTGCATGGGCCATCATGTGTACGACAACTCTTTCGCAACGCTCGGCTCCTCTCACGAGAGTTGCGCGCATCGGAGGCCTCAGGAGCGAAGGCAAAACCGTGCGCCCTTTGCATCTGGGCGGCCTCTTTCGGGAATCAGACATTTCCTGCCGTCCCATCCGTAATCGCAGCGTGGACTCGCTGCAATGCCTGCCCTGGCCGTTGCGCTCTGTCCAGCTTGCTCCAGGCCAGTCCGCCGATGGGAGCAGGGGGGTAGGAGCGCGTTCCTCACCCGAGCCCGAATCCAAATCCAGTTCCCCCCCCCTCCTAGCGCACGCTCCGAGTCCCAAGGCCTGCCCTTTACGTGCAGAGGGACCGTGCGCGAGAGAACTGCTCTGCACCCTGCCCCGCGACCAGCTCGGCCAGCCTGCAGGCCCGGGGGGGTGGGCGGCTCTCCATCAAGGGAGGAAAAGCCACCCGGACTGGACAACCGGCGTTTGCTAAACGGCCTTGGGCGTTTATTAAACAACCCTGCCCTGTTGATTCTCTCTTTGGGTGCGTTTACTAAACGGCCTGTGTGCTGGGGTGGTTATCCGTAAGGGCTTCGCCCCCTGCCGCCGTCCCCCTCTCTCGGAGAATGGGCAATGGAAGAGCGAAGTCATGAGGCTTTGGCTTCACCGTGAATCAGCGTCGGAACTTCATGCGAAGACGATGGGTAATTGGCAAGACGAATGGAGATTGCGAGTCTATTGTTGCACTTGCTGTTATGTGAATTTCAGAAATGTGGCAAATCCAGTTTTTTTGTTGACCCTGACCCCGATCTGCGTGAGGGGCGCCAGCGAATTTCAGAAATGTGGTAAATCCTTTGTGTTTTTGGACCCTGACCCCGCCGATCTGCGTGAGGGGTGCCACCGAATTTCAGAAATGTGGCAAATCCCCTGTGTTTTTGGACCCTGCCCCCGCCGATCTGCGTGAGGGGTGCCACCGAATTTCAGAAATGTGGAACATCCGTTTTGTTTTTGGGCCCTGACCCCGCCGATCTGCGTGAGGGGTGCCACCGAATTTCAGAAATGTGGCAAATCCAGTGTGTTTTTGAACCCTGACCCCGCCGATCTGCATGAGGAGTGCAAGCAAATCCCATGTGTTCTTGGACCCTGACCCCGCCGATCTGCGTGAGGGGTGCCACCGAATTTGAGAAATGTGGCAAATCCCATGTGTTTTTGGACCCTGAGCCCACCGATCTGCGTGAGGGGTGTCAGTTTTTACCCACCCCAGCAATTCAGACAGCGCGTTTTGGGTGTGGTAAAAATGCTTGTTTTGGGCCGCCGCCCCTCGCGCGGTCCATCAACAAGGAACAGTGAGCAGCAAGAAGTCAACAAGGAACAGTAAGCAGCAAGAAGCAGATCTGTAACAGTGGAAATTGGAAGCTGCAACTGGTCCAGGAAACTGCGAACCTTCGGCCTACAGCCTGGTGGCCCCACAAGGGGGCCGGCGGATTATCGCGGTGGAGTTTCCGCCCTCCACTCCAAGAGTCTGGCCAGCACCTTCTTGGCCTCCGCCCCCTGCCCCCCTCCCCCTCCTCCTTGGCCTGTTTTTTTTGTTGTGTGTGTGTGTGTGTGTGTTTTGTGTTTAGTGTTTTGTTCCCAACCCTCCTTGGTTGGGTATTCGTTTTGAATAGAGCAGTGTGGTCGCGTCCTTCCTCCTCCCGCCTCCCGCCTCTTTCCTGCCTCTTTCTGTCTTGCCTGCGGGGGGCTGTGAAACTGTCGCCAGTTTCGAGGCCTGCTGGGGGGTCCAGCATAGAGGGTAATCGCGGCAGATCCAAATTAGACCTCGCCATTCCTGGGGGGCTGCGATCTGTGAAACTGTCGCCACTTTCGAGGCCTGCTGGGGGGCTCAGCATGGAGGGTAATCGCGGCAGATTCAAATTAGACCTCGCCATCCCTGGGGGGGGGGGCTGCGATCTGTGAAACTGTCGCCACTTTCGAGGCCTGCTGGGGGGTCCAGCATAGAGGGTAATCGCGGCAGATCCAAATTAGACCTCGCCCTCCCTGGGGGGCTGCGATCTGTGAAACTGTCGCCACTTTCGAGGCCTGCTGGGGGGCCCAGCACAGTGAGGGCCACGCGCGGATTCAAATTAGACCTCGCCATCCCTGGGGGGCTGCGATCTGCGAAACTGCCGCCATTTTCGAGGCCTGCTGGGGGGCCCAGCACAGTGAGGGCCACGGGCAGATTCAAATGAGACCTCGCCGTCCCTGCGGGGCTGCGATCTGTGAACCTGTCGCCACTTTCGAGGCCTGCTGTGATCCCCGTTTTCGAAGTGGCTAGGAGTGCTCAGGAATTGTAAATCATCAGCTTTATCAAGCCCTTTTCCTGTAGCCAGTGTCCTGCGAGTCTCCCGAATTCCGTCTGCAGACATATGTAACCCTCGCTCCGTCATCGCCCCCTTATAAAGTATCCTAAACTATTTGCGCCCCGCTTTTGCGCAGGGGTTGGGTACGTCGCCAGGGTAATTTTTTGTTGTGTGTTGTTCCCAACCATCCTGTGGTGTTGGGTCCTCGTTTTGCAGAGACAGCGCCCCGCGTCTCCTCCCGCTGCCCCCTCCTCCCTCCTCTCATCAGCGGCCTCGGGCCATTTCGGCACACCCCTCACGAGGATCGTGGCCCCATAGGGAGCTCCACCGAAGGCCCCTGTGGCAGGGTTCGCATGGCGGCCCCGCGCCATTTTGGCGCACCCCTCACACGGTTCGTGGTCCCATAGGGAGCTCCACCGAAGGCCCCAGTGGCAGGGTTCGCATGGCGGCCCCGCGCTATTTTGGCCCACCCCTCACACGGTTCGTGCCCCATAGGGAGCTCCACCGAAGGCCCCAGTGGCAGGGTTCGCATGGCGGCCCCGCGCCATTTTGGCGCACCCCTCACACGGTTCGTGGCCCCATAGGGAGCTCCACCGAAGGCCCCAGTGGCAGGGTTCGCATGGCGGCCCCGCTCCATTTTGGCCCACCCCTCACACGGTTCGTGGCCCCATAGGGAGCTCCACCGAAGGCCCCAGTGGCAGTGTTCGCATGGCGGCCCCGCGCCATTTTGGCGCACCCCTCACACGGTTCGTGGCCCCACAAGCAGCTCCACCGAAGGCCCCAGTGGCAGGGTTCGCATGGCGGCCCCGCGCGATTTTGGCGCACCCCTCACACGGTTCGTGGCCCCACAAGCAGCTCCACCGAAGACCCCAGTGGCAGGGTTCGCATGGCGGCCCCGCGCCATTTTGGCGCACCCCTCACACGGTTCGTGGCCCCATAGGGAGCTTCACCGAAGGCCCTAGTGGCAGGGTTTGCATGGCGGCCCCGCTCCATTTTGGCGCCCCCCTCACACGGTTCGTGGCCCCACAGGGTTGTTCACCGAAGGCCCCAGTGGCAGGGTTCGCATGGCGGCCCCGCGCCATTTTGGCGCACCCCTCACACGGTTCGTGGCCCCACAGGGTTGTCCACCGAAGGCCCCAGTGGCAGGGTTCGCATGGCGGCCCCGCCCCATTTTGGCGCACCCCTCACACGGTTCGAGGCCCCATTGGGAATTCCTGTTGCTTCGTTCCCCTTGCCTTGCGGTTCTCACACTTGCGTATGGTTGGGTCTTTCGCCAGGATAATTTATTTGTTTTTTTTGTGTGTGTGTGTGTGTGTGTTTTTTTTTGTGTGTGTTCTTTTTTGTTTTGTGTGTGTGTGTGTTTTTGTTGTGTGTGTGTGTGTTTTCTCCTCGGCCTCCCCGCCGCCCTCCGCGGCCCAACCCCGAGCGGCGGAGAGGCCACGCCCCGGACGCGGCGGCCCTCGCGGCGGCGATGCACGGCACCGACGAGTGCACCCCCGCGGTGCTCGGGACCCTTGGGTGGATGCAGGCGGTGCCCCCCCCCGCCCGGGCGGAAGCGGGCGGGGAGAGGGCGGGCGGGGAGGAAGAGGGCAGGGAGAGGGCGGGGAGAGGGGCAGAGGGCGGGGAGAGGCCCCGCCCTCCGCGGGAGTGAAGGCGGGCGGAAGAGGGCGCGGAGAGCCGGGGGGCAGGAGCGTGGCCGCGGCGCCGTGCTCGCAGCCGCCACGGCGTGCAGTGCAGCGGTCACGCCCCGGTCGCGAGCGCGAGGCGTCGGGCAGAGCACGTGCCCCGTGGTTCGAGCGAAGGCCCGCAGGCCTCAGCGCACGCACGTGCGGCTCCCAGAGGACGCGGATCTGCGGCCTCAGTTCGCCTTTCTTGGCCTCGGAGGGCCGCTCCCTGGGCCACTGCCGGGCGCGACTCGGAGAACTGCTCTGGGCGGTGAGGTGGGAGGAGCCGCGGGAAGTACGCCGAGCGAGCGCGGAGGGGCAGGCACGCGTCGCGCAGAAATCGCGACGGGCGTCATCCATTGGTTTGGGTCGCTGGGGGCTGTTTTGGCGGGCCCAGGGCCTGCAGAAATCAGCGGGCGGTGTAAACTAACCTGGCGAAGGGGCGCGTCCTGTGCAGCTGCCAGTCGAGTAGGAAGGATGTGGCCCTGTCTCTTCATAGGCAGCGCGCCACAAGAAAATACGAAGCTCGGGGCATCGCGAGCAGGAGACGGAGGACGGAGCAGAAGGTTCCTTCGGGGCCATTCATCACAATCAGCATAAGTTGTGTTTCTTGAGGCCTGGTAGTGGAAGATACAAGTACTTGTGCAGACGCTGGAAGGAGTGGGGGCAGGATGTGCAGCGGCAGGAGCAGTGCCAGGGGGAGCGTGCACGAAATCTTCATGAGGCCACGACGCGTGTCACAGGTGTGCCGCAATGGGCGGGGGGAGGCAGTGCGGAACCTCCACCCTGGGGCCTTCGGTGGATCTTCTTGTAGGGCCTCAAAGCGTGTTGGAGGTGGGGGGGGGGGGGGGGGGCAAAATTGGCGGGGGGGGACGCCGTGCGGACCCCGCTCCTGGGCCGTCGGTGGATCCTCGAAGCGTCGCAGGGGTGTGCCGAAGTGGGAGGCGGGGCGACGTGCGGACCTGGCCACTTGGGGCCGTGGGCGGATCGCTCCGTGGGGCCCCGCAGCGTCGTGTGTGTGGGGCCGTACGTGGAACTCCTCGTGAGGCCACGAAGCATCTGAGAGATGTGCCAACATGAGCCGACGTGTGTGTGTGGGGGGGTATGCACGAGTGGTGTGCGAAGCGGACCCCCGTGCGCCATGCGAGCGCGCCCACTCGGGGCGTGGGCGGAGCTCCCTTTGGGGCATCGGAGCGCGTGGGGTGTGTGACGAAATGGACCCACACGTGTGCGGGGTCTGCCCAAGTAGACTTACCCAGCAAGCGGGCGTTGTTACTGGGGCCTTCGATGGAGTGC